TTTAAATACGAGTACCTATGTATATTGTTAATATTTGCCGATGACATCATCTATCTTTATATCTACGATTTGACAGACGTAACAATAACATAATATAACATAAGAATAAGAATAATCTTAACATATCAAACAGGTATATTTGCACTATGAAACTGTGGGATATCGACTCAATGCCATTGAAATATTCTATGGCATTTAGTCTTTACACTTATTAAGACTCAAACTTTATACTTTCTGTTTCTAATGTGATTGTGAGTACTATTTATTTTCAGCACTTCATTGTTGTACGTGGTGATGGAGGCGCGGCACCCTGAGCAATTTTTGATGCAAACCCAAAGGACCTTGGGTCCCCCAGTTCTGTATCGGCTGTGTTGACAAAAGCGGAATTCACCCATTTGTAACATCGGTTTGCCCATTCTTGACTCTACCATTCTTATTCCTATAAAAAAGGAATTTACGTTTAGCGTTCTATATACTCATATAAGGCACACACAATATTCTATATGCAGACAATACACTTTACGTGATCGATACTCGAAACCCTCGATTTCTGATGTTCTGTCTGGTTGAGGTTTAACCAAAATGTTCTATTTAAATAAGGTGATAAAAAAATGAAAAATACTTCAGTAATACCATTTACTACTTTAATATTGATTATATTAATACTTAAATGCGGTTACGATTTATTTATAATTTCTACAACATGTCTTAGTAAACAATCAACATCTCTTCTAAACAATGTACTCGTAAACATAATGAAAAAGACGAAATGCTAAACTAAGTTTGTTTCCTATTTTAGAAACAGTACCTATAATTGAATATTCAGATTTATTTTATGACTAAGTAATAGAAATAACCCACTACCAAATTCGGTGCGTGGCACCCAACATTTTTATACGAGTAGTATGATAATTTTTACACAATTGGAGTGCATTATACACAGAGTCTTTGAATTATTTTTTAACCAATAGTGGCAATGATCTAAACCGGAATTGTAATTAATAAAAAAACAGTTGCACACTGCACACTACTCTCATTGCCAATAATTTTAAAATGAGAAGAAACAATTTCATTAATAATAAATATTAGTAGCTTTAACAAATCCTCGTCGTCGTCATTTATACTCGTAAATTAATATGTGAAGAAAATTGTTTGTACACCTTAATAAAGCTAAAAGTGCAGAAAGCTAACATTTTCAAAGCATATGTGATATAAAGTTAAAAAATATAAAAACGGCAACATAAACCAATATAATTTCAGTATATATTTTGATCTGTCATTATATAAGAGTCTATACAATGACAGATAAAGTTACACTGGTCACTGAAATAAAAGTAAACAGCATTTATGTTCTTGCGACAGACACGGTAAGTCTTTGTCCTGCGGCCCTTCGTTTAAAACTTTCACATTTATTAAGCTATTATTATGAACCTTAATAAATTACTCTAAAAAGTGGCAAATAGTCATTGCATCAGTTCTGTTGAAATATATTTATTTACTTAACAAAATTATATTTGATTTCTCTATTTCAAACAGAAATTACCTGCCATAGGTCAGAAGAAGATAGGATATAAAGCTCAGTGGCGATTGCACTGAGCTACACTACACAAATAAGCTCTTAAATCATAACAAAAGGAAAAAATATTTAACTTACAATCGAATACATTAGAATACATTATAATATAGGTTTTTGTTTAAATGTTTTATATTAGACAAACATTTTCTACTAATAATAATGTGATTAATTATAATTAGCTATAGCTACAACAGATTTTTATTTTTATTTGCAGTTACAAACATGGATACGTTTTCTTACGAAATAGCCCAATATAATTAACTATAGTTTGGGATTTGTAAGAGTGGTTGTCTAGATCAATTGTTGCTGCTTCAGGATTTGTAACTGCAGTAGGGCATCATTATTATTTTCTTTCGAATAAACCCTCTCAACTCTATTAGTATCCAAACGGTCTTATGCATACATTATCAATTAGAATGTTAAACATTACAAAGAATAAAAAGGAATGTAAATTAAAATTGTACATTTTTATAAGCTAACATGAGATTAAATGATTTAAATCCGGAGTTATTTAATCGTGATTATGTGCATTATTCATCCTGACGATAGCGTCGTTGTACGTTGTTATATGGGCGAGGCACCCATTGCAGCTCTTGTTACAAATCCATCGGACAGTGGGAAGATACCTGCCATTACGATAACGACTGTGTTGGCAGAAGCGGTGCTTACCCACTTGAAGCATTGGATTACCCATTCTAGAGTACACCCTTTTTATCTCTGTAACAGACATTTTTGAACATTAGTAAAGGTTAGGGAATATGTGGTTCCAAAATTGTTTGCTTAAGTTGATTAATATTGTTTATTTAACAGTATATCACACTTTATCCTACTGAAAGTAAAAACCCTTCTTAGGAACTGTAGATATATTTTCAACAATGAAGGACTTTTATGGTAGCAAACGTCAAAACTCCATTCTGAATTTACTAGGAGCGACGATCTTTATTTTCAATGTAACATTATCGATAATAAATAAATTATGTGTACGCAGATATGTGGCGTACAACGCACTATAACACAATAATTTACATGACTATTAGTGGTGGTATTCCTTAACAGTTGCGTTTCCTAGCTAATAATATAATTGCCAGTGTTAATACTACTATTACAGAAATTACTGACAGAATTGAGAATAAGTAAGAAGTGCTATGTCCCGACGTGCTGCATACACTCACAAATTTATACCAACACGTCCGAAATTTTCCACTTCGGCTATACCCTTGTGATTACGTGATGAAAAAAGTTACGACACCACAGTCGATAGCACTTTTAAACCATATGTTCTGATATATGATAAGTACTTTTCATCCAGGAAAAAAGGTTTATTCCCGAAGGATACAAAACAATTTTCACGTAAGAAAACCGCAGGTCCGGTATAAGGCTAAGTTGATCATTATTATCGATTAGAACATGTGTTAACTAAGTTATTATTTTATATTATTACTGGCAACAATTCCAAGCAAGTTACGAGATCGGTAAGTTTCAAGTTATTAAATTCAGTCACTAACAAATAGAGTAAGAACAAAAGGTTTTCTTTTATTCGTTCAGCATTAAGGGAATAATGAAACACATTGTACTCAAACTCCGAACTTTATATATATATATATATAACTTTATGTTCAAATAATAACAAAGTAGGATACGAATACAATATTGATGCGAATAGGGTGTTTATAAAACCCTTAATGTATATGGTTAACATTCATTTTAACTATTTCATTGTCAACTGTAGTTATCGAAGCGCGACATCCAGCGCTCCACTTGACACATATCCATAACACTTTAGGTCCTCCGTTGCGGTATAAACTGTGTTGATTGAAACGGTATGCTCCCATCTGTAATAAAGGCTTACCCATTCTTGACTCAATCATTCTTATTTCTGAAGCAAATGTAAAAACAATAGACATTATGTTCATTTCTAAATTGTTTTCTTTTATTGCATGTGGCATATAATACTCCAAACACCGGTTTGTTTGATTTGGTTCGTTCCTGATATAATCACTTTGATCTTTAGAAATGAAAGAAAGTAAAATGTTAACATAGTTTCATGCACATGCGAGTACTATAATAACATGTGTTATCATTGTCTGGCTTGGAAAAAAACAACTAAACAAAAACGAAATTGTATGTTATTTATTTGTATGATTGTGAGTGTTGTAAAATTTTACAATTTCTCCATCAATCGTTGTTATCGAAGCTCGGCATCCGGCGCTACATTTGGCACAAATCCACAGGACCTTGGGACCACCCTTACGATACAGACTATGTTGGCAGAATCGGTAATCTCCCACTTGTAACATTGGCTTACCCTGTCTGGAGGATATCATCCGTATTTCTGTAAACAAAAAGAAGTGGTGATAATATACTGGTGATTGTGAAAAGTTATATCGCCTACGATAAATATGGTTGCGAGCACTTCTTTCGAACACAGAAACATGTAATTGTCAGACTACCATCGCAGTAGAAAAAGTGATGTTACATTGGGAACCATATACACCGATAACCCCCTTTTTAAGCTAATAATCCGAAATTCTACTTATAAAAAACTAAATCCATACAAGATGTATTTGCACCTCTGTTTATGGAACATTTTCAGAATTATATACAACACTAGCTTACCCGCGCAACGTCGTCTGCGTCTCTCAAAAGGAATAAATTTTCTCCGTTTTTGAAACATTCTTCATTGATGCTCCGCTCCTATTTATCCTATTATACGATAAATGGGCTATCTAACACTGAAAGATTTTTTTAAATCCTACCAGTAGTTCCTGAGATTAGCGCGTTCAAACAAACAAACTCTTCAGCTTTATAATATTAGTATAGATTATAGACAAAAATATTAGTAATATTATATTAGCAAAGATAAAAATATGACACAAACAAATTTTTATATTTACTTACTCAACTGAGTGAGCTTTAAAGACATATATATATATTTTAACTATCTTGGAAAATAATGAAGGATTTTCTAATTTAACCTAAACTATCTTCTGAATATTCTCTTCTATATCCTGAATGTCAAAGTAAGTTTTAAGTATACAAGGATATGTACAGGGCCAGGTTACATAAAAGGACATAGGGTATATTATCGAAAGCAAGTACTGTTTCTGAAGAATAACGCTAGTAAGGAATCAATTATTACGAAGATATAATTAAACTGTTTTAATGCAATGTTATGCAAAAATCAATACTCATATAGATATCACAAAATAAAATAAATATGTAACATTAATTGCAGTGGTCACTACACGACACTTTAGTGAACTTGTATTCTTATTCGCTGTATAGCATTGATGTTCTGCACTAAACCCAGTACAATTAAATAATAGTATTGAAACAATTTGCTTTGACTTTCTGTATAACGAAATCTGTAAAGTTGAAAATATAACTAACAAAAAATGCATCTTAGTAAGAAGTAACACAGTTGTCAATCGTGGTTATGTGGTTTATTCATCTTGATCACGCAATTTTCTAAAGTCGTTATGGTGGTGCGACATTGTCCCCACCGCCACTTTTGACAGCGCCATATTGATTTTGGTCCAATTATCTTGTGAATGTTAAAACTTTGATTTCCTAATACCAGCTTTGGCTTTCCAAATCTAGATATGCTGAAAAGAGCATCTGAAATGGAAAATTTATATAAATATAAAATAATATTAATTATAAGTACTATTTAAACAAAGGCAAATCGAGGCATAGCATTAGCATCACCGAATAAGCAACTACGACTTTTATAGAATAACTAGCTTTTTCCCGCGACTTCGATCGCGTAGAAGTTGAAACTATTTGTGAAGTCTAAGTACATTAAGGAGCTGTTTTAGATACATCACGCTATTATCAGTAAGAGTGAAACTTTAGTTAAAAATACTGGGTCTTATAATCTTATTATGTAGGGGGCTGACTACATGAAATAAATAAAAAAAATCCAGGAGTTATTTAAAAACTATGATGTCCCCTTTTTTGTTTTTTTTTTTTCCGTGCGGAAATCCCCTCGGATACCACCTGTCGGTGGCATGTCGGACTCGAACCGACTAAAACCGCACGCCGTCTCGGGTACTAATAGCCGGGGAACCAGGTATACCCTAGAAAGGAAGTCCCTGGTGCCCCGACATACCTCGGGTCATCTACAGACGAGTAGACGACCCCCCCCCCCCGTGTGACGACCCCCCCCCGTGTGACTATGATGTCCCCTGAGATATATTTTGAAATCAAATTATGCGAAGGGCAATTTTGTGATTATTATATTATTAAAACGCCTTAGCAAATAATGCATTATTTTATAACAAATTTTAAAAGAGACCCAATCTTAAAAGAGACTTTTAAAGGGGAACAATTCAATTTACAACATTTTTTTTATACTCCGCTCCGTTTGGTCGTAACGTGATGGTATATCGCCTGTAGCATTCCACTATAAATGAGCTGACACTGAAATAATATTTCAAATCGGATCAGTAATTTCTTAGACTATTTCTTAGATTCAACCAACCAAACAAAAAAACTGTTCAGTTTTATAATATTAGTGTAGATGTCCTAAACTATTATAATTTGCCCGCTTTTTAGTTTCTTTGGGGTTGGCCTCAACCGCGCCGTTTAATTGTATTACACATGTTATTATTAGTTTCCGAAAATGTCGTTAATAGCAAAAGGAAAAAGGCATCAGTAACGCTTATACTAGTATAACGGACGATGGCGAGTGCTAAGAGTTTCTCTATTTAAACGATTTGAATTATCGGTAGGATTATCTTTTGTAATAAAGGATTTTTATTTTTATAAGGTAATTGTCGTATAAAATAAAATCACAACGTGAATTGTTGACAGATGTCAACCGTGGGAGGAAGATCCCCTTGTGGAACTCATCATAGTAAAGTCACTCATCATACCTTACCTTAAATCAATAAACACTCACAATACATAAAGATTTTCACAATTGGAATTGGTTGGGCCTGTGTTTTTAGTATCTTTATGTATGGTGAAAGCGTTTCAAAACAGTAGATCAACCATTCTGAAGCTTTTCTCTTTTAAAGTCGTTCGATTTGCTTCAATTATTAAAGACCGTTAAATCACTCACCTTTAACTGGTACAATACACATTTTAAAGGTTTAATCTGCTTTTCCTTAACTTTTCGTTTTGGATTAATTTTGAACGAACAAAGTACGAAAGAAGAGATAATATTACGAAAGGTATAAAAAGTTTATTTTCTAAGAAACAGATATTCTTAGTCAGGGCCGTCGGGCGCGGATGTGCAGAGCGTGCAACGCCATACGGGCGGCATTATCAAGGGGCCGGCAAAAACAAAAATCGAACGTTCGGGCAATTTTGAGATGGCTTAATCCTGGAGCGCCGTTATTGCGGCATTAAGTCCCGTTATGGAGGATTGGCTCTAGAGGAAACATGAGATCCTGTGATACCGGCTGACACAAAGGATGATATGGAGATCACCTACGTCTGATTCTCAAAGAACCAACGCCTGGGTGTCACCACTGCGAAAGCCAGAGCCAGATGAGAGAGATGGTTTTAAGGAGGGCGCTGACTGACGTCGTCGAAAGGATGTTTTGATATGAAGCAGCATGCCAAAGCATGTCGCGTCACGTCGTGACATCCCGCAAAAATCCCAGCCACTTAATAGGGCCGGCGCTGACTGAGATCGCGATACCGTACGGCTTGATGAAAAATTTATTATCTAGTTCTTTTTTCTTTATTTCAACGTATTTAGAATTCATATTACTTTATTTGGATGTAATTATACCGCGACACGTCTTAACATACCGTGGAACGCCACGGCGTGCTACCGCGTTCTACGTGATACAGGATTATGACAGCCAAATTAATTAAAATAAGGTTTAAACTGGATGTGATGGTGTTGTCGGCGGATGAGGTGCAGCCTTGGCTGGGCGTAGAACAAAGAAGAAATCACGCACGTCTTGACTCACACAAAATGTGTCAAGATAGAAAGCTGCACGTGCGTACGTCTACGTTTTAACTCATTTAATAAGTAGCTAAATTCACTATTTATTTACATCTTGTTCGCCACAAATTATTTAAACAGAATTGCTTTTTGCTTCAACATTCACATTCTTTGATGAGAGAGTAGTGCTTCCGCGGTATAATTGTCTTTGAAATAAAGTAATATGATTTCTAAGGCTAAAAAGAACTTGATTAGAAAAAAAAAACATAAACACCCCCCCGCCTCCCCGCTTGTCCGGTGGGAGGCATCCGGTCTGGTTAAAAAAAAGCGGCTTCATCGGCATTGCACGCAGACGCTCAAACTGCTAGCGGCGGCCCTGTTCTAAGTTATATGTCTATCCTTAAAACACTTTCGACAAAGCGACTGCTGACACTTGTAACAATAAGTTTTGATTTTTTTCACTTTTTTTTTAGCTTCTGAAGAATCCAGCGTTTGTCGTAGGTTTTCATAGCACTGAACGCAATTTCTTCTTTTAGAGCCCATCAAGAGAATATGTCCAGAACCTACGACATCAGTTAAAACTCCTGGAATTAAATACTTATTATAATTACTACGTCCTTTGTACAGCCTAGCATGATAGCCATTTTGAAGGTGAAATAGCAAATAACTGTGTCATTTTATATTGGTTACGCAAAATAACCTTTATTATGTATGATTATGAGTGTCGTTAGTTTTTATAATTTCGTTATCAAAAGTCCGTATTGAAGCTCGACAGCTCTTATAACTCCTCTTGACACACACAAAGTAGACTTTCCCTTCCCTGCTGCGTATCTGAAAGCTTTAGATATTGATTGAATCTAATACTTCTAACATTTTTATAAGAAACAATACATGTTTGCATTGAAAAACATTAAATGAATGATTCAAGATAGATTTAAAAAAATGCTTTAATTTACAGACGTATTAATATTTCAGGTAGAGTAATAGTATAAATAAGAATATCTTATTAAAATATAAAATATTATGAACAATTAATACACTTCCATTAAATATAATTATATAAAATATGTATTTCACATCTTAGACGTATTGTAGAAAATAAACATGTAGAACGTATGGTAGTAAGAGGTCACCGAAAGCTATTTAAAACATCAACAGCGTCACTCTTAGAAGACAACATAAATAAAATTCCCGCATACAGATGTGTTATTTTATAAATTTAATAGAAGCTATTTGATTAAAATTGATATGACATTTGTGTATGCCTTTAAAATGCTACTTAATTATAAGACTTAATGTGTATGTCCGTCTCTGTATTTAAGAATGGATCCATCAAAAGTTTCAACGAACGCTCTGCATTTATAAGTGGAGGACCACTTCACACAACGCCACATCTGTTTCGGTCCATGGGGGTTCAACAAGTTGTATGTGTGTCCTTTGTAAATCACTTTCGGTTTACCATACCTCGACGTTGTTATAACTACTTCTGAAAATTAAAGTGACACTTAAACACATCAAAAAAATGTTTGCTATTATAGGTTTCATTGTCATAGTAAATTTTTATATAGCTTTCCCATTAGGTTAAGTTTCGTGATAATGTTCAGCATTGTCAGTGTGGTCACTTCGTAGGTATGGTACATTATATTTTTGAAGTGTCGATATCTCAAACAATCTAAACAAGTTTATATAAAACAAAATACTTTCATTTGACCGTTTTTTCATGAAAGTATTTCTAAAGATTTTGACTCCACGATAGCGTAATGCCTTAAGCGGTCACCTCGTCGCTACCTACTGCGCTGAGTGTTTTAATTGGTTCGAACCCCACATGGGACAACAGTTTCTGTGATCCACAAATTGTTGTACTGAATCTGGGTGTTCTTTGTGTCCATTTTATGTAGGTATATTTGTGAAGTCCCACGCGACAGGATATATTCCTTGCGGGAGTTAGTCAAGATCTAGATATAATGATATTGAAATGATACATCGTAAACGAAGCAGAGCCTGTACTTTGGTAAGCACACTGCTAATGTACATGTTTATATATTTCTAAATACAAACATATTATAGATAAAGTACACCCAGACAGAATAAATGATCGCGCTCATCACACATTTTTTTTCCTTAGTGAGAATAGAACCTACGATCTCAGGCTTAGCTATCAAGGTCGCTAACAACTTTATAGACCGAGAGGCCTACCCAAGGTGTGTATTGTTATATTATTACAATAATGAAGTTGTGAAATGACAGGTGCATAAGCTTGAGATTAGGTAGCAGTCTGGAAAATTAACTCTGAGTAAGAGATTCGTGTGTATTTGGAATGTTGATTTCAGTCTGTACGAGTCATTCGTGCTTAACTTCGTAGCTCCAAGAGTTTCTATGCTATGATATAAAATCTTATACCATTTATATAGGAATTATCATAATCCATTTTGAAATATTTACGGATTTTTGAAAGAAAAAACGAAATATTTGTTTATTAGGGGTCATCCATAAATTACGTCTGACGAATTTAATTGAATGACGTTTTTTGACCCCCACCCCTGTCTTTGCGACAGCTAATACATTTATGAGGCGACTCCCGCCCCTTCCCAGTGCGACATCACATATTTTAGCAATTTTAGATTCTACAAATTATAAAACTAACTTTGAAACTGTTATTTTATAGCAGTATCTCCATTTCAATTTAATATATAATCAACGTTAAATGAAAAATTGGGCAAATATAAAAAGACAAAAGTGATTAATTGTATAATACTGTAAATAATTCTAATTTCGCGTTTTGATACTATATATCTAATATAAGGTTTTGCAAAGTGACGTCACAAGTCTTAGGACCCCTCTCACCACTTATCATACAATGCCACAATTCACCGACTCCCCGCCCCCCTCTTAAAGTGTAACGTAATTTATGGATGGCCCCTTATACATTTCCTATACCATGAAATAAAATCTTTGAGTGACACGTATGTTCAGGAGTAGTCCATATAGTAATCATATAATCAGTAAAAACCACTTCATAATAAAAGAACATAAATATTTATTAGTCCTTATTCGTAATTTAACATTTATTGAAATTCTTTTTAAATCGAATACATTTATTTACAAAAAAATAAGGATTTGCTATAAAAATATACCTATGTCTTTAAAAAAATAACTACTGACAGATAACTCTTAATGCATATAGTTCATATTAAGAAAAAACTGTGTTTTTTCAACGGGATACTCCGGTAAAAGTATTATTTAAAAAAAAAACAATGGATAAAATCGGTTCGTGGCTAGTTGTAGAAAAAAATAGAACAGGTTCGAAAAACCGGTATTGAGAAAAAACAGGGATTTTTATTTATGGAAATACAGAAATAGAAGCAACTTGACTTTAGCAACTCTCATTTTCGACCAAAACAAAATGAGAGGTTTTCGACCCAAAACTCTAGGATAGTTCCGGTGACCTAGCATTGTCAATTTTGGCTAAAATCAAGGTATTATTTTAATTAGGTACGGAACCCTCGGCTCACGAGTTCGACTCGCACTTGACCGATTTTTTTGTAAAAAAAGTTTTATCGCAAAATAATATTAAGTAACTGCACAATTTGCGAAAATTTAACAATATGCTTAATTTATTTAACTCGAGTGCGATCGGTAAAAAAACATCCTACGAATATAACAATTTAAAAAGCATGGCGGCGGAGTAGAAAACTCTCTCTTACGTTATAAACGAATTTTGGACAAGATCCGTGCTCATGCTCATTCTGCTGCCTACTAAAAGCGCTCGCGAAAAGATCGCTCGATTTTTTTTACGTTTTCCCGTCTCTGTCGTGCACCTGTTCGATTTTTTTCAATAACTTGCCGCGACCCGATTTCTACCATAGTAGGTTTTTTTAACAACACTTTTACCCAAATTATCACGTTGAAAAACCAACCAGTTTATTTTTTTGGATCTGAACATTCTCAGCGTGTACTAATAATAATCACGAACTACATTTGAAATTAAGCATCACAACTTGTCGGCATACATAAAGCGGGCCGATATTTTTGTTAGTAGGTGTAAACTTATTGATTAATATCTTGTTAGTATTTGCATCACCGTGACAATAACTTCTCTAAAAAGATGATTCGACAGGCTAGTGATTATGACAAATGTTGGACCTGATTATATTGTTTTCTATAGCGGTTATAGTGGCTCTACAG